CCACCCTCCTTCCCACCCTCCTTCTCGCCCTCTTAATCCCTCTGCAGATTTCGCAGTTGGGTATCTACCCCGCTGTGGATCCTCTCGATTCCTCTTCCCGCATGCTCTCCCCGTCCATCCTGGGCTTGGAGCACTCAGTCCCCCTTCCCTGTCCCTTTCCTCCCTCCCTCTCTCCCACTGTCCCACCCAATTACCCCATCCATCAGATTTCCGAGTTGGGTATCTACCCCGCTGTGGATCCCCTCGACTCTTCTTCTCGCATGCTCTCCCCGTCCATCCTGGGTCTCGAGCACTACAACTGTGCTCGTGGCGTGCAGAAGGTGCTGCAGGATTACAAGAACCTGCAGGTGAGACCGCTTCCATGCTGGCTTGGGTCGGAAGGGGTCGGAAGGGTTTGGAAGGGGTTGGAAGGGGTAATCCCCCACCACCTCCTCATCGCGCATGCTCTCCCCGTCCATCCTGGGTCTCGAGCACTACAATACAACTGCGCTCGTGGCGTGCAGAAGGTGCTTCAGGATTACAAGAACCTGCAGGTGAGACGGTTTTCGTGCTATGAATTTTTTACTTAGAGACTGTTATGCTTTTGATTGAAGGCACATGAAGCTCCTCACGAGCACCAAATCATTTTCCTCCACCATCGCTATTTTCACCATCTCTCTTCCGCTCTTTCCATTTCAGGATATCTTTGCCATTCTGGGCATGGACGAGCTGAGTGAGGAACACAAGCTGATGGTGGCCCGCGCCCCTCTCAATGCCGCTCTCTCCCTCCATTGATGCCCACCTCCCCCACCTCCTTTCCATTTCAGGATATCATTGCTATTCTGGGAATGGACGAGCTGAGCGAAGACGACAAGCTGGTGGTGGCCCGTGCTCGCAAGATCCAGCGTTTCCTGAGCCAGCCCTTCCACGTGGCTGAGGTGTTCACTGGCTCGCCAGGCAAATACGTCGACGTCAAGGAGAGCATCACCAGCTTTCAGGTGAGGTCTCGAATTCGAATCCTGCTGCTGTCACTTAAGATGCATACAGTCATGTGAAGGGGGGAGGCAGCAGGGGGATTGACCTTCCTGAGCCAGCCCTTCCACGTGGCTGAGGTCTTCACTGGCTCACCGGGCAAATACGCCGATGTCAAGGAGAGCATCACCAGCTTCCAGGTGAGACCTGAGCTCGAATCCTGCTGCTGTCGCTTGATTACAGTCATGTGAAGGGGTGGGACTGCAGGGGGCATGGCTTCCTGAGCCAGCCCTCCTATGTGGCTGAGGTGTTCACTGGCTCGCCGGGCAAATACGTGGACGTCAAGGAGAGCATCACCAGCTTCCAGGTGAGGTCTCGAGTTCGAATCCGGCTGCTGTCAGTTCACCTGCACAGTCTTGTGAAAAGCGCGACATCAGGGGGTGCGGATTCATGAGCCAGCCCTTCCACGTGGCGGAGAGTTCACTGGCTCGCGTGGCAAATACGTAGACGTCAAGGAGAGCATCGCCAACTTCCAGATGCGCGGTTGAGCCGCAATTCCTCCCTCACCACATGCCTCTGCTCATCCATGCATGCTCATGGCCCTGCGATGCAGGTCCTAGCACGCCCTGAGCCAGCCTGACGCCTCTTTTCTCTCATTATCCTTTCTCTCTTTCCACTTACACAATTCTCCCCCCGCCCTACTCCGCACCACACAGGGAGTGTTGGACGGCAAGTACGACGATCTGCCAGAGCAGGCGTTCTACATGGTGGGAGGCATTGAGGAGGTGGTGGCCAAGGCTGAGAAGCTCGCCAAGGAGCTCAGCTCCTAGGCTGCTGCTGAATGATGCTGGCTGCTTGTGGTGATTCCATCCAGTGGTGCTGCTGATGTTATTGTTTTCGAAATGAGATTAGTACAGTTTCGCACAGGTTACAGGAGCTGCGGGTGTTATGGAGGTACAGGATTGTTTCAATTCTTTTCCCAGGATCATAAGCAAGGTAGTCGGATTGAAAGCTGGTTACTTATTTTGTTATTGCATCTATCTCAAAGCCAGCAAAATTGCTGGTAGAGGGGTTTACTCTTACAATGTGGTACATTTACAAAATACGTTTTCTCTTTCTAGCAGTCTGAGGTACGTACAGGTGGCGCACACTATGAGCTTGCTGTAACCATGCACCCATGATACACATGTGGGTTATCTTTGCCTCGATACACCCATGAGCAGTATCACACCGTATGGCTATCCACATCAGCTGCTACATCCTCTCCTCTCCCGTACGCTCTTCTTGCTGCCAGCCACGCACCCACTCTGTTTCAGTGCCACTTCCCTTCGTTCATCCTCTTAATTCGGAGAGGGGAAGCTGTCTAGGTATTGTGCATAGGAATTCCTGGTTGTGCCATCTGCAGGACCTGTTGTATGGGTTCAGAGTTATACCGAGTGGCTGGGCCGCAGGTAGTGGGCTACTGGTGGTGGTATGGCACCATACAGGAAAGCAGTCTTACATAGTAGTGGGTCAACCAGAAACTCAGCAGAAGCTGGTGATTTCTCTCCTAAGATTGTGCTGCCGCCAGCAGCCAGCAGCTGGAATCAGCTGAGTTGTGTAGGATCTTTGAGTCTGCCAGTGTGTGTGTGTGCTACTCACTGCCAGCAACCTCCAGGTGGTGTGGGCTCCGAGATCTCTGGAGCAGCAGACGCGCGTTAAGTGTGAAACATGTTGAAGAGGTACCGTACTACCTCCTGAAATTGCTTAGCTCTGGGAATAGTATTGGGACGAAATCACACGTTAGAACACCCTAAGATGGACTGATCCTCCTTCATTGAAGTATTCCTATCAATGTCCCAATAGTTGGCAACTTTCTGCCTCTTCTACTCTAGTCGCACTTGCGGCGGCATTTCTTGACCTTTTTCTTGCATTTCTTGTACGTGTGCGTGCACTTGTGGTGTTTGTGCTCGTCGTCCTTGTTCTCGCGCTTGCACTCGCTGTAATCCGTGTTGCACTTCTTGTTCTTGTCCTTGCAGTCCGACTTGCACGACAGCATGCGCGGCGACCACAGGAACCGCCTGCTCACGCGGTATAGCGCATTCACGAGACCTGGAAACAGGGAAGGCAAGAAGCGGGAAGGCAAGAAGCGGGAAGGTAAGAAACGATTGAGTTCACGATATCTGGATCAGGAAGGGCGAAAAAACGAACATTTTCCACATTGGCAAGAGTGGGTTGTTGTTACGAATTAGAGCAAGGCATGGCAGGGTAGTAGGGGCGGAGGGGTCGCGGCGCCCTGCGGTATGGCGCCACTGAGCGCAATGTAGTAGCCAGCGCACCAGGAGGCGACGCGTCGGCGTAAATGGCGGCGTCCGACACGTCATCGTCGGCGTCGTCTTCCGCGTCGATCTCATTCGCGCGGCACTGCGGCGCCAGCGCTAGGGATACGAGCAGCGAGAGCGCGATCAAGACGAAGAAAAGCTTGGAACGCCTCATGGCTGCTGCGGTTGCGAGTTTATAGAATTCTCAACGATCGACTGGGGTGGTGCGGTGGATAGGAAGAGATCGTGAGGTGATATTGCGCAACTCTTCTAGTAGAAGCCTGGGCTGTAAAGCTTCTTTTCTGGTTGAACTGGAGCTGGTACCGATTAACATTCAGGTCCTGGCTTTTATAGGGCCCGTGGTTTCTAGCACGCGCGTACATCGTGATAAGGCAAGTATAGCGGTTGGTCGGTGATAGATTAGGTCTAGCCGCCGGTCGGTGATAAGGTAAGTCCGATGGAGTAGTTTGCTCGGTGCTTTGAGCTGGACTATGTACGGGGATGTGCGTGCGAATCGTAAGTAGCGGGGTGGGGTTTCTGGCTCGGAGAGTTGTGGAACATAGGCGAAGCACGAGGGCAACGTGGGTGGAAATCAGTTTTGGTCATGGATCGGGGGGGAAATGGGAGATGGGATGGGATGGGTGGGATGGGATGGGATGAAGCTGGAAGGAGTGGTGCTTGCATTGCAAAAATCGAACCGCACAATGCAACGCAAGTTTAGCGCGACCCGGACCCAATGTGCCAGAATTCCGGATGAATATTTGAGGCCATTCCCTTATGTTGATAGAGAGAGAACCTCTCTATAGCAACGCAAGCAGGTTGTACGAGCATTGGTTATGAAAAGTGTTGGGCAAAATGTGGTCGGCCACCTTGGGCAATCTAGTCTGTTCATCGGATGATGCCATCCGATTTGAGATGCTTGGACAACACACCTATTAGTGCGAATCCTCCAACATATAACCACTGAAAACATGTAAATCGGCCAATTGAAGAGTCGCATGATGATTCCTTTCACAATCCATCACACAAGCACATCTTTCGTTCGTCCAGCGTGGTGTAACGGATACCTCTCGTTGAGCTCCCTGTTGTCTACACTCGTTGAAAGATTATCTGGTAACATTCTCTTTGCCTCTTAGTGCGGAGTGCTACACCCATCAATGAACACCATAATTGCCTCCCACACCAAGTACTACATCCACCCCTCATCCTGCACCGACACCCACACCCCTGCCGCTCCCCCTCCTGCTCTCTCCTTCTCCTTCTCACCCCCCTTCTCCTTCCCCTGCTTCCCTATTCCAGCCGTCTCCCTCGTTTGTGGCTGAATCACTATATTATCTTCTCATTCCCCAGCACCATCATTTCCCCTGTTTACCTTACCCGTGCTCCCGCCCTTAGTTCTCTCACCGCTAGAACGGGCTGAGAGTTCTCTGGGGCTGCAGAAGCTCGTCTAGTGCGTATGTGAGAGAAGGTACTACTACCTCCTGCAATCTGCCTAGCTTTCAATAAATCTTTGGGAAGAAATCACACGGCCTAACACCCGAGAATAGAGCGATCCTTCGTCACTGACATTGAGGTGTAATGATATAATCCGGCCTTTTAGTATATTCAGAATTTGTCAGTATACATACAAACTTGACGCTGTATATTATTTCTAAGCTCCAGCACATCCTATTTCCGAAGGAGCGCCACCCCGATTTACCCTATGATCCAATCTATCACCGCCTGTTGCAACTTTCTACCTCTTCTACTCTAGTCGCACTTGGAGCGGCACTTCTTGGCCTTTTTCTTGCACTTCTTGTACGTGTGCGTACACTTGTGGTGGTCGTGTTTGTCGTCCTTGTTCTCGCGCTTGCACTCGCTGTAATCCGTGTTGCACTTCTTGTTCTTGTCCTCGCAGTCCGACTTGCACGACAGCATGCGCGGCGACCACAGGAACCGCCTGCTCGCGCGGTATAGCGCATTCACGAGACCTGGAAACAGGGAAGGCAAGAAGCGGGAAGGTAAGAAACGATTGAGTTCACGAGATCTGGATCAGGGAGGGCGAGAAAACGAACATTGTTAGAGCAAGGCATGGCAGGGTAGGGGCGGAGGAGCCGCGGCGCCCTGCGGTATGGCGCCACTGAGCGCGATGTAGTAGCCAACGCACCAGGAGGCGACGCGTCGGCGGAAACGGCGGCGTCCGACACATCGTCGTCGTCGGCGTCATCTTCCGCGTCGATCTCATTCGCGCGGCACGACGGCGCCAGCGCGAGGGATACGAGCAGGGAGAGCGCGAGCAGGACGAAGAAAAGCTTGGAGCGCCTCATGGCTGCAGCGGTTGCGAGTTTTTAGAGACCTCGACGATCGACTGGGGTGGTGCGTTGGATAGGAGGAGATCGTGAGGTGATATTGCGCAATCCTTATAGTAGAAGCCCGGGTTGTACGGTAACGCTTCTTCTCTGGCTGAAATGGAGCTGGTACAGATTAACATTTAGGTCCTGGCTTATATAGCTCTCATGGTGCCTAGCACGCGCGTACATCGTGATAAGGCAAGGATAGCGGTTGGTCGGTGCGATAAGGTAAGTCTGGTGGAGTACTTTTGGTCGGTGTATTGAGCTGGCCTAAGTACGGGTATGTGCGCGCGATTCAAAAGCAGTGGCGTGGGATTGCTTGCTCAGGGAGATCTGGAACGTGGGACGCACGAGGAGCAACGTGGGATTCTGTTTTGATAATGGGTTGGGGGGAAGATGGGATGTGATGGGATGCGACGAGAGGAAGCTGGAATGCCAGATTGTTTTCAGTGAAACGAAATGCAAAATTCGAACCGCACAATGCGACTCAAATGGCTTTTGCGCGACGCGGACCCGATGCGCTAGATTCTTCCGACGATATTTCGAGTCCGTTCACATATTTCGATAAAGAGTATTTCACCATGGCAAAACATATAGGCTATACGAGCTTTGGTTATGGAAAGTGTTGGGCAAAATGTGGTGGACCTTGAGAAATATCTTCGGTGCATTGGATGAGGTGCTTGGATAATACGTCTATGTGTGTGTGAATCCACCAACATATAACCTACTAACAACATGTAAATCAGCCGATTGACGAAACACATATTCATTCCTTCTATACAATCCTATCACACACATTACACAATATTTCATCAAGCAAGCATATCGTTTGATAGTCCAGCCCTTGGGAAAATATGTGAATGGTAACTTACATGGGGCACTGTAACACGTACGATAACGATTTCATGGCGTTTGGTAACCCGCTTAACGTTTTTGGTAACTTGCTTAACGCGTTTGGTAACTAGCTTAACACGTTTGGTAACTATACACTAGCAGCCCATCACGCGAATGGTAACTTTGATGAAATCAGCTCTGACATGACCCTGATTTGACGGTTTCCCGCTCGTGCCAAACCAATCCACGAGCTGTGATGCACCCACGTCCTCCTGAACCACGTACGCCACTCAACCGAACCAGAACCAAGCGTATTGTACACCGCGTGCACACTAAGATCAACCCAACTTGCAAACTCTATCAGATTGCTCCCCGTCATCCTGCTCTAGCCCTATCACTCTCGACACTAACTTAGTAAGGACTTCTTAGCAGACTTATTACCCCCCATCAGATTCACGGAAGCTCGAGTTACAGCTGATCCGTATCAGAGGTGCGTCTCACTCCCTTTCTCTTCCCTATATGCTGAACCTACTCGAATCTATCCATTCTTCGAAATTCTGAATGATCGCCGCTGGGCGCATAGCGCCTGTCTCGCGGCCAGCTCTATGCGCCCAGCGGAATGCTCGCCGCTGGGCGCATAGCGCGCATCTCGCGGCCAGCGCTATGCGCCCAGCGGAATGCTCGCCGCTGGGCGCGTAGCGCGCATCTCGCGGCCAGCGCTATGCGCCCAGCGGAATGCTCGCCGCTGGGCGCGTAGCGCGCAACTCGCGGCCAGCGCTATGCGCCAAGCTATGCGCATTCCGCTGGGCGCATTGCGCCTCTCTCGCGGCCAGCAATGCGCTCAGCGGATCGCTCACCGCTGGGCGCATTGCGCCTCTCTCGCGGCCAGCAATGCGCTCAGCGGATCGCTCACCGCTGGGCGCATTGCGCCTCTCTCGCGGCCAGCAATGCGCTCAGCGGATCGCTCACCGCTGGGCGCATTGCGCCTCTCTCGCGGCCAGCAATGCGCTCAGCGGATCGCTCACCGCTGGGCGCATTGCGCCTCTCTCGCGGCCAGCAATGCGCTCAGCGGATCGCTCACCGCTGGGCGCATTGCGCCTCTCTCGCGGCCAGCAATGCGCTCAGCGGATCGCTCACCGCTGGGCGCATTGCGCCTCTCTCGCGGCCAGCAATGCGCTCAGCGGATCGCTCACCGCTGGGCGCATTGCGCCTCTCTCGCGGCCAGCAATGCGCTCAGCGGATCGCTCACCGCTGGGCGCATTGCGCCTCTCTCGCGGCCAGCAATGCGCTCAGCGGATCGCTCACCGCTGGGCGCATTGCGCCTCTCTCGCGGCCAGCAATGCGCTCAGCGGATCGCTCACCGCTGGGCGCATTGCGCCTCTCTCGCGGCCAGCAATGCGCTCAGCGGATCGCTCACCGCTGGGCGCATTGCGCCTCTCTCGCGGCCAGCAATGCGCTCAGCGGATCGCTCACCGCTGGGCGCATTGCGCCTCTCTCGCGGCCAGCAATGCGCTCAGCGGATCGCTCACCGCTGGGCGCATTGCGCCTCTCTCGCGGCCAGCAATGCGCTCAGCGGATCGCTCACCGCTGGGCGCATTGCGCCTCTCTCGCGGCCAGCAATGCGCTCAGCGGATCGCTCACCGCTGGGCGCATTGCGCCTCTCTCGCGGCCAGCAATGCGCTCAGCGGATCGCTCACCGCTGGGCGCATTGCGCCTCTCCCTCCAGCGCTATTCGCCCTGCGGAATCAGCGCTGCTTGGCGCATAGCTGTTCTCTCGCGGCCAGCACTATGCGCTCAGCGGTGAGCAATCCGCTGGGCGCATTGCGCCTCTCTCGCGGCCAGCGCTATGCGCTCAGCGGTGAGCTCACCCTTTCCTTGCTATTACTCAACCCCGCCACTCTCTCTCTCTCTCTCTCTCTCTCCTCTCTCTCCCCCCTCTCCCTCCCCACCGGTACTACGGCAGGTGTTTGCAGGCTTCTTCGCCTCACAGCCATTCCGCTTTGAGCCATACGACCTACTCACCAACATCGTCAAGGTGCGCCCACTCCCTCACTTCACTTTGCTTGAACTGCCCTGCCCTTGATGACTTCCAGAAACATGTGACTGCTCCCCCGTGGGGGCTCACCGCTCACCAACCTCATCCAGGTTTAGGGACTCACTCACTGCACTTCAACTTCCCTGCCTTAGGCGTCTCTCTCGCGGCCAGCTATGCGCCCAGCGCAGAATGAGAGACCGCAGGCCGAGTATTTTACCCTCTCATCCCCGATCATGCAATCCCTTGCCTTATGTCAGGTCAGGCCATGCACGTGCATGTTTCAGAATAGAACGGGCATGTTTCAGACCATGCACATGCAAATATCAGTATGGGATGGCACGGGATGAGCTCGGGGATCAGAATTCACTGGGATGGCTACCTTGCCCACCTCCCCCCAAACCCCAAACCCCAAGGCTCCGTGGGGATGAACAGGCCTGGCCAAACCGGGCCAGGCCTAACATGCCAGGCCTGGCCGAACCTGGCCAGCACCCGGCCAGACCGCTGAGTGAGGGGGAAAGAGTGGGGGATGATGGAGGAAGCACGCTTGTATTCAGCCCCCCACATCCCCTCTCGTTATTTCTCTCGCCCTACTCTTCCCTCTCATCCTCTCTCGTCCACTATCCGGCCCTCGAATTCCGGGTTTAAGTCATTCCCTTTACAGACTTGTTATCCCGTCGGGTTTTGTCCCCTCCCCTATCTTCCTCTCTCATCCCCTCTCATTCTGATCCCATGTCCTACCATTCATCCCAGCGGTGGGTTGATGCCCTCTCATTTACTATCACGCTGTATCTTTCCCTCACATGCAGTTTTGTCCGACCTTAAACATTGCGAATAAAAATTATTGTCCCTTCACTTGATCTCTAATCCCTAACCCTACCCCCTCTCCCCCTCTTTTTCTCTCCTATCTCATGTGATTCCCTCTTTATCGATCCCAAATGCACAACGTCCCCTCCTATCCCCCCTCAATCTCTGTGCTTATGCGTTAATTTCCCGTCAGATGCTTAGCCAGTCTCTACCTTGCATTCTTTTCCCATTCCGCCAAATCCCTCTTAACCTCTCCTATTGTAGGTGTCCATCCCATGCCATGCCATGGCATGGCTTGCATTGCTATGCGACGTGGTGCCATGATCCTCCATCACATAATATAATAGGTTTCCACTGTGACATGTCATGCCATGCCATGCTATGCCACACCACACCACACCACACCACACCATACCACACCATATCACACCACACCACACCACACCACACCACACCACACCACACCACTCGAAATCGTTTTATAAAGAACACATGATCACATAATTCCCACATCACATTTCGTTCCACCGACCTACCCTTTCCGAACCTGCCCTCCAGGCTCGACGACCGAGTGAGGCTCGGGTGGAAGCTGACAGCCAAGAGAAGCGGCCAGGTGGCAGCGGCTCCCTGCTGTCCTACGACACTCCCGAGGGCGCCAAGTAGCTCTCTGCACGCTGCCTGCTGCTCACCGTGCCCACATACGTTGCTGCTGACCTCCTCAAGCCCTACTCGGTGAGCATTCCCCCTGCTCTCTTGCAAACGTGCCTTGGGCAGCTGCACCCGCGCACCCAGGGGATCGTCACTCCCCTGGGTACAGGTTAAGTAGGATGTTTGGGGAGGAGTTGGATGAAGGAGCCTACGGAGTACTAAACACGAGGTGGGTGGGAAGTGAAGGGAGCTCAAGGGCTTTGGGCAGCTGCACCCGCGCACCCAGGGAATCGTCACTCTGGGTGAGGCATAGGTTGCCAGGCAAGCTTGAGGTTGGTTGGGGGATGGTTCACAGAGATGGTTGAGGGGATGGGCGAGAGGGATGGGCGGGAGGGATGGACGAGAGGGATGGTACGAGAGAGGGGGGAGCCTAGGCGATACCGGCAGACCGCATCTAGTATACTAATCTGTTCCACGATATATCTCACTTTTTCCCTGCCTGGGCTCCATGCTCCTTGCTGTGACCACTGCCCATTCTTTTTAAGTCCAGCCACTTTCTGATACATGCTCCACCCTCCTTTGTCCCAACTGTGCTTCATACTACTGTCTGTGCCTGCCCTCCCTCCCCTGTTCTATTTCCTGTCTCCCGACCGAGCCTCATCCTCCTTGCTCTCTCCCATTGCCGTATGACCTCCCTCCCCTCCCTCTCACACCCCTTGACCCCTCACCAGGTACCATCTACAGCTCGGTGCTCTTTCCCAACCGGGCTCCGGGCGGCCGTGTGCTGCTGCTGTGCTACCTTGGGGGGGCGTGCAACACTGCCCTCACTCGTCAGCTTATCTGACCTCATAGCCCTACTCTCACCTACTCTCATTATCGTTCAGAGCTTGAGACCTCTGCTGTGGTGATCATGTCTCGCATCCAGCGTTCCAGGTGCGACCTCATTCCTGAAGATCAGTTTGTATTATATCAAACGCTATGACAAAGCAACTATGATTAACACCTGTACCAATACACCTGGATATGTAGCATAATAGTTCTACTCCATTCCTCCTATTTTCGAACCCCCAGAGTCCTTCAACAGCGTATGGGTGATGCAGTCAACATCTACCTAGGGAAGGTCTACACTAATGCAAGCGTGGCGAGGGAGGAGCTGTTGTTGTTCTGTCGGCAGCATATGATTGTGCCGCGCTTTCTTTATAGCCGCCCAAACCTCATAGTGTTGCAGTGTAACACAGTGTCAGAACATTGTAGCTTATGCTGTTGTGTAGGCTATAGTGGGGTATCCCATAGGGGGTACAACCAATTAGGGTTTCATATTTGTACTCACTTCATTTCATAGTTCATTCATTCTCGTTCTCATTCTCACATGGAATCAGAGCAGGTCCCCTCCTAGGGACTGTTCCTTGGGCCCACCGAAGCGCGCCTCGAGTCGCGCCTGTCTTTTTTTTAGCGGCCCGTCGAGTCGCACCTAGCGGCCCGTCGCGCAGCCCTTACGGTCGCGTCGAGCCGCCCTAGCGGCTGCGGCGCGCCGCCCTTTTCCCGGCCCGTCGCCGCCCTTACCCGCGGCTTTGCGCCGCCCTCACCGGCGGCTTCGCGCCGCCCCTACCTGCGGCTTCGCGCCGCCCAGGCCCGTCGCCGCCCTTCCCGCGGCTTCGCGCCGCCTCTACCTGCGGCTTCGAGCCGCCCCGGCCCGTCGCCGCCCTTACCTGCGGCTTCGCGCCGCCTACGGCCCGTCGCCGCCCTTTTCTGCGGCCCCGCCGCCTCTCTCGTTACGGCCCCGCCGCCCGTCTTCGCGGCCCCGCCGCCATCTCTCGCTGCGGCCCCGCCGCCACTCACTGCGGCCCCGCCACCCGTCTCAGCGGCCCCGCCGCCCGTCTTCGCGGCCCCGCCGCCTCTCTCGCTGCGGCCCCGCCGCCTCTCACTGCGGCCCCGCCGCCCTACTCAGCGGCCCCGCCGCCCGACTTCGCGGCCCCGCCGCTTCTCTCGCTGCGGCCCCGCCGCCTCTCTCGTTGTGGCCCCGCCGCCCTTCACTGCGGCCCCGCCGCTTCTCTGCAGCGGCCCCGCCGCCCGTCTTCGCGGCCCCGCCGCCTCACTACCCAGCGGCCCCGCCGTCCTTCTGCAGCGGCCCCGCCACTCCTCTACAGCGGCCCCGCCGCCCTACGTCAGCGGCCCAGCCGAGCCGCCCAACAGCAGCGCAGCCGAGCCGCCCAGCAGCAGAGCAGCCGAGCCGCCCCGCCGCCGAGCCGCGCTGCAGCCGAGCCGCCCGGCCGCCCACCAGTCGAGCCACCGTGCAGCCGACCGCCCAGCCGCCGAGCCGCCCAGCTGCCGAGCCGCCCAGCCGCCGAGCCGCCCAGCCGCCGAGCCGCCCAGCGGCCGAGCCGCCCTGCAGCCGAGCCGCCCGAGCAGCCCTGTCCGGTGAGCACAGACCCTCTGTCACTGCGTGCTCTTCCCCTACTCCTTGCACTGCTGGTCTACTGCTGTCATGGCTACCCCTAGTGTCCTCACTTTTGACGCTGAGGGTCGGGCCATTGACTTTGAGGTCTGGGTAGATGACCTACAGCTGTTCTTACAGTGCGATAGGGCGGACGGCCTCTCTCTCTTTGACCTCACCTCTGGCGCTTCCCCTGCCCCTGCTGCTGATGCTGACGCCACTGTTCGCTCCCAGTGGGCCACGCGCGATGCTGCTGCACGTCTTGCTGTGCGTCGCCACCTCCCTACCTCCGAGCGTGCGCACTTTAGTCAGTACAAGAGTGCTCAGACCTTGTACGCCGCTGTAGTCGCGCGCTACTCCTCCCCTTCCGCTGCTGCACTGAGCCGTCTCATGCTGCCGTACCTCTTCCCTGACCTTGCTTCTTTTCCCACCGTTGCTGACCTCATTACGCACCTCCGCACTAGTGACACTCGCTACCGCGCTGCACTTCCTGCTGACTTCTGCACCGCGAACCCCCCCCCCATGTACATCACTCTGTACTTCCTAGTCACTCGCCTCCCTGACTCCCTTCGAGTAGTCAGGGACCACTTTCTCTCAGTCTGTCCCACCACACTCACTGTAGACCTCCTCGAGAAGGCCCTCCTCGCGATAGAAAAGAGCATAGTCGCTGTAGGAGCCTCTCGAGGTGACCCGCGCACCCCCATCTTTGAGGGGTGTTCTCCCTCCCCCCTGCTGCCCTCTGTTGCCTCTGCTGCTTCGGCCGACCTCCTTGGTCTTGCGTCGGTCGGTGCGGCGTCTGCCCCTAGCGGGAGACGCCGCCCTGGCAAGGGCAAGGGGGGCAAGGGAGCTAGAGGAGCGGGCGGTGGAGGTGGAGGTGGAGGCAGTGGGGGGAGTGGGGGTAGCGGTGGAGGTGGAGGTGGGGGTGGGGGGTTCGGTGGCGGCAGTGGAGGCGGAGGCCGCGGCGGCGGTGGCGGTGGTAGCGGAGGTGGCGGAGGAGGCGGCGGTGGAGGAGGCGGTGGAGGCGGCGGCGGCAGTGGAGGCAGCGGAGGCGGTGGAGGCGGTGGGGGTCTTTGCAGAGGAGTGGCTCCGGTGGTGGCTCGCGCCAGCAGCAGCAGCGTGGTCGTGCGACCCTGTCCCCTCAGCAGCTCCGTGAGTGGTACAC